TAAAGATTAGTCCAAGTTAATCATCGTTTGCACACCTAGAGAAAAATACGACCTAATGCCTGCTTAGTGGATAACTGCTCTGGATTATTTCCATTTTGTTCCATTTCCTTAGAAATAAAATTTGGATTAACTCAGCTCAGAGCAAGTGTGGATAAAGGTGACAGTTGATGGAAATTAATCTAATCAGGGAATATAACCCCACCCATGACTTTCCAGACAGAGGTCTGTATTTGGACACCTCTCCAGCAAAGGAGGACATCTTGGTTAAATAAAGGAGGCCTGGCTAGAAGGATTGAGAACTTTCAAAGGGAGCGCACCTTGTATCCACGTGGGCAGAGCCCCTCAGCATCCTTTCCCAATGCACACACCAACTCTAAACTCGACTCTTGGGTTTCAAAAAGGAAATCTGGCTAGAAAGAAAATGTTGGCCACAGAAATGAAGACTCTTCTGAAAGGGGAAACAGGGGTGAGGCAGAGTTGGGAGGGGCAAGGGGAAGAGAAGCAGCGTGTTTTAGTTTCATCAAGGTTGCCATTCCCAGAGGCAGGAGCGATCTGCTTTTATACATTTCAATGAGAATCTAAAAAGGAGGGAAACTTAACGTCCACATTACTGGCCATTAATGCATGGTACTGACACTGCACAGAAAAAGTGTTCTTACACATTCACTAAGAACTATTGCTATTATTAAATAGCCCCAGCTAAGGTGGGGATGTGGGTGGTTGTTTTTTTTCCATTTTGAAAAAAGGAGAGAGATATATATTTTATTTGGCTTATACAGTCAGAGTTTGTGTTGCTTGGAGTGAAGAGAATCAAGGCGTGATGTTAAATGCCAATCCAAGTCCAGTCATTGTGAAGGGGAAAAAATTAAATCAGCAGGTAGCAAGATGAGCTCCAGAAGAGACAAGTGTGCAGCCCAGGGTAAAAGGGGAGGCACTTTCCCCTTTGGCTCCTCGCACTTCTCCCCATTCTGCCAGCTTCATGGGTTTGTCTCATGTTTTCCCTGATAAAATTCCTCCCACCGGCTCTCAAAAAACTGGCGCATGGCCAGCCCCGCCTTGCCCACCTCCGACTCATCTTCATTAAAGGTCCGGCAGTTGTCAAATACCAGGGCGGCATCAGCAGCAAACTCCTCACAACGGCTGTATCTGTGGATCACAAAAAGCAGAGGTTAAAAGTGTAAAAGAGTGTAAAAGTACAGCATTGAGACACACAGTGCCTATTTATGGAGAATCTCCTTTTTCAATAGCTCCACCCTCCTCTTTTAATTTCTTCTCACAACTGCTGCCAATTTTTTGGCCCTTCTTTCTAACACCGAGTTTAAAGTAGGCCATATATAATCATATTCTAGCAATTCTTCAAAACCACCCCAATCTCATATGTCTGTCTTCAAACAGGCATTCAAACGTTCTCTCCGCAGCATCACTCTTTCCAGAAGATCTGAAGTGGGCCGCCAAGACAGCTAACCCTCCCTCTCCCAAACCAGGAGAAATGAAAATCCCTGCCCCATCCTTACAAGAAGCAGCCCCTGCTGCTTGGCATCATCTCATCTCCCCAGGGCAACCCTCCATCCTCCCACAGTTGCCCACCCCCAACAGAAAGGAAGCACAAGTCTTCTTTGGAGGAACTGCAGTCCATCATTTACCAGGAACAAGCTAGCCAACCAGGTGGAATGCCGCATGAGACCACAGAATGCATACCCTAGCTCCAACCAGAACAAAACTATCACTTAACTATGATACATTCTCTTTACAGTCCCCTTATGTAAACTGAAATAGTCAGTAACTGAAATGGTGGCTTAATGATATCTGTACCTATTGTTAGAGAAAGAGAGGGATGGAAAAGGAGTATCCTGTGGCTCTTCCCACTGCCTTGCACTGGCTCAGTTAGTCACAGGTCCTGCCCTGTACTCACCCACCACGCAGCAGCCGCGCCCTCATGGTGGCAAAGTCCATGGGATTCTTGATGATCTTCCGATAGCCAGGCACTAGCCGGGGGTTAACAGGCTCCAAGAAAGGCCAAGCAGCTTCATGTGATTCCATCTCCATCAAGATGATCCTGACAAAGCAGAGCCAACACTGAGTGGCACTGAAGTGAAAGGTTCTGGCCAGAAATGAGGAGTGTTATCTACCCTCTTTTAAAAGAGAAAATCACTTTTAAGCTACAGATCTCTCTCTCTCTTCTCTCTCTCTTAACTTCGGTCTATGCATACCTGAATCCCTGGTCCCACATTTTCCCACTCTCTCTGGGAAATGTCCCATAACCTTCTCCCTGACCCTAACTTGCAGAGGACAAACACCTACTCGCAGAAGGTCAGGTCAGCGCTCTGGCCTCGGGTAGACACTCTTCTTCGTTTGGAGGGAGAGAGGCCTTCACCTGAGTATCGAGGGGATGTGTTTGCCAGGATATTATGTTGTTGGGAGGCGGCGGCAGCTGCTGCCCGAGATCGAGGGCTGAGCTCTTCCTTCCCCCCAAAAGTCCCAGAAGTACCACTTTTCCGCTTCTTGCCCCGTCGTGGAGATCCATACTCATCCTGATATTCCCCTTGCATCTACATCATGAAAAAGTTGGGGAAGGGAGAGGAAGGAGAGAAACTATAATCAAGTCCTGGACTAGGAGTCCATTTCAGCAGAGTCAGTACTACCTGCTAGGAAGCATACCAGTTTTCTGATAGGTAATCACCCCACCCCACTCCTTGAACACCAAGGCACTCAGTGGGAGCAAAATAAAACCCTGCCAAACCAGAAGGAAGAATCAGGGAGTTGGGGACAAGACAAAATGTATCTTATATGGAGCCAGCACCTGAGCAATGCAGAGAGAGCAGAACCAATCACCGTCTGGCACCTCCGTCATCTTGGGACGATGGCAATAGAGATGGCAGCCACGATCACAGCTATCACACAGCAGCAGATTCTCATCATCATCCCCTTTTCGGCACACAAGGCAAGTCTGGAAAGCAGAGAAGACAGAAGCGGATGACCCCAAATCTCTTCAGGAGGTGAATGCCACAGTCTAAAAGGATTTTTTCCTCTTTTTCTTTTTCTCCAAAGTTGAGCTCCTTCTAGATAAAATTCCTCCAGGCCAAACCTTTGCCCTAGACACACCTCCTCCAAACAGAGATACCACCCCATAGATCCAACAACTCTTTTTTCCCCTTCTTGTCAGCATTGGCTTAGCCACACACATGCCTATAATCAAGCCAGAAGAAGAATCACTGATACTCTTTCCTGCACCAAGCATTTCACAAGTTACTAAACTGGCTCTGATATTTTCCTTTAGACTTGCTTACATTTCCTCTCCTAAAACCTCTCTCAGCCCAATGCCCCTTCCTCACCGCTCTGACGACAGATTTCTCCCATGCTATAGAGCGCTCCAGTTGGTAGATGCACAAAGAAACTTGGGCTGCACTATGGCATCTTTCCAAAGTCTGGCGCCACATTCGCATCCGTGGTGTGATTTCATATGTACTGCAGAGGAAAAGTAATTGTTAGATGAGGGAAATCAATTACAGTCATCAAAACATACTATTAGTGAAGTGACATCAAAGAACCTTCTTTGTGCAAGGTCAAGTCTAGGAGATTTACATCTCAGTGTTTAGTATAGTAGACAGACGCAATGATAATCGGATTCAAGTTGCTAGAGGTTCAAATGGGCTGGAAATCAGATGACCAAGAACCATAAAGACCTATGTCCTAACAGTATAAATATGGCACTTAGGAGCTTGGTACCAGAATGCCAATGAACCCAGTAGATGAAGTTGCAGTGGCACCAAAGGGCTCAGGCCTCATATGCTGTTAGAGGATATGGAAACCTCTGATGATGCCAACATCTAGCTGGGTCCTGAGGAAATTGTGCTTAGAATGTGAACAGTAAGAATATCCAGATGAGAGAAAACAAACTAACAATTTTCTTCTGGACAATCTTTGACTAAACTACTTTGACTGAACTATCTGCTCTCTGGAACAGAATCCTCCTGCAGATCTGTACAGCTCCCACCCTGCAGCTGTTCCACAAGTCTCTGAAAACATGGCTCTGCTCCCATGCCGGAGGTTAAGGTGCCTGTCGAGCCTGTTAGTTTTCTTTTGATGCACTGGGTTGTTTGTTCTGGGCATGCATGTCTTTTTTCTTTTACTGTTTTCTAGTTTTAGAGATGTAGGCTGCCTAAAACTACTGGGGGTCAGGCAGCCTCTAAAATCTAAATAAATGAATAATCATCATAAAAGCAGCATGTTGTAAGATAATTTTATTGGATTTACTGAGTAAAACCTTGTCAGCGTATGCACAAATCAACAAAATAGCTTCCTCTAAAGGACCAAAAGGAACTGAAATTGCTCCATTAGTTGATTCATTCACATGGGCAAGCATTTTAAGAACGGGCCCCCTAGATGCCACACACCCAAGGCAACAAGAAGCCAAACATGAGAGAAAGAAAAATGTTACGTGAAAATTTAGAATAAAAGACTTAACAAGAAGCAAGGAAATTCAGCTACATCTCCAAAACAAGAATGCTGCTGCTGCTGTTGCTGCTAATGTTGAAAAGGTACCAAGCAGAAAAATGAGGGCGTAATCTGAAGACAAAGCTGGCTCCCATCAGAACTTGACTCAGCTTTACGGGCTCAAAGAGAGTACGACTTCTGCTGCTTGAGGACCACACTCCAAAAATGAAGGAGTTGAAATTGCGGGGACTTAGGGAGTTGAGTTTTTAATGAATAAAATGGGAACCTCAAGCCTCTGCAAGGCTCAAAGCACCATTTTTTTGCCTCTTAAATCTCCCCCAATGGCCCAAAATGCAAGAAAGGACCAAACATTTTGGCCCCACTATTCCTGGGAGGTCTCTATGGGGTACTGAAAGGATGCTTGTGGGCTGCCCACAGCCTGAGTGCAGTTTTTGTAATTTTGCTCTATTCAGATGCTGCAGTACAGTGTGTGATCCACAGACCATGAAGGACTTCTAGATCACAGCCCGCCTTTTCTGGCCACTTAAAATTCTTTTATTTTTAGTTCCCAAAATCTTCCACAATACCTTAGCTCATGAACATGTGTTTTTAGTAAATGTTAGCCATTTGATGAATGCTGACATTTTCTGGCAAATTTAAAATATTACCAATTAAATGCCACAGTCCACTGAATTATTTAACTGCAAGTATTATTTTCATACATTTCATACATTATTGTTTTCACTTGGTGCTACTGTACATTACAAAGAGGCTGCAAAAAAACAGAGCAAGAGCAATCTCCCTGCAGCTTGATATCGCCGAATTTGAGGTCTTTGTTCCTTTTAACACAGAGACACACACAAGACAATGAAAATCTCAAATCTTCCCATCCCACCTTTCTGTCTTTTTCATTTATCTTCTTTTTATCCTTCCTTTTTTCTCTAAGTTTGGGGGTTGTAGGCCAAACGCTGCTTTTCTTCTTTGCAACATTTTTGTGGCAAGAGTGTTGCCTCTCTTTTATAAGAGAGGAGGGTAAGTAAGTATCAGAGGACAGTAGCAAATAAACATTAATTGGTGCTATCCCAGTAAACCAGGTTTTCTGCCCCTCTGTGAATCAGCTGCCACTGCACAAACAATAGCAGTTTTGTCTTATCGCATCCTACTATAGTCTTAAATCTGGCAATTGGCTTGGAAATCAATCAGATCATTTTTTTCTAAAAAGTTCATATCCATGCCAGTCTACAGAGATGTAAAAAAACCACAATCACCTGACTTTGGGATTCCCAGGCCACTCTTTTTTCTTAGAATCATGGATATAAATTAACCAGTTCAGTCATTAATAAAAGAAGACACTCACATTTCTGTGATACTCTGCTCCAGGGTACTGGGGTTACTCAGCAAAGCTTTTTCTACCACCACCTCATGTGGGGGCCAGAGAGGTTCTCTGAGGTATCTCCGTTCCAAGTTCTGCTCCAGGTCTGCAAGACGGAGCACTGCAAGATCCAGAGGGTGGTTAGATTCACGCTGCAGGACAGGTCCCTCTCGCCTATTTTTTACGGTGATGTCTTCCAGGAGCTCTAGTTCATGTTCACAGTACTGCAAGTCTTTCCTAACAGAATCAGGATCTGGGCTCGTCCAGCCCTAGAGGAAAGGCAAAAGATCAAAACCAAAATGATAAATGAAAAAAAATATTAAGAAGAAATGATTACAGCACACACTGTGAACTCTCAGAAGTAATTTGCAGTGTTTCTCCAAATAATGATTCAAAACAGTCCTTGTAACTACTCTATGATGTTTCAGACTATGGTGTTCCTCTATCCCTGCCCCTGGAAAGTTTCACTTCAAATAGTGATGATACTCATGGAACAGAAGTTCAAAATAAGATTTAGAAGGAGTTCCGATATTTTAGAATGAAGAACACTTCCAAAATAAAGTTTACCTATCTAAACAAGAAAGCCTAAATTATGATTACAGGGAAGCAGTAATTTGCCAGGGAAAGGTAACTGCACCCCAAATACTAGTATTTTGCAGGTTCATATAGCTGCACAGATTCTAGTTCAGTGCAACTGTCTATCAGGAGAGTAACGTCAGTAAGTTAAGAATGAAAATATTGTTATAACCCATACTATTGTTTTTCGATAGCCTAGATTATTTCTCTTAGTCCTCTGTTTTCTAATCCTCAAAACTTAACTTCATTTAGCGTTGAATGATTATTTTCAGGTTGACCTTTGGGATCTAAGCCTCCTTCAACGCACTGGTCAAAGTGCATACAATTATCAACAGGAATGCAGTCTCCGCGGAATCTTAGTACTTACTCGAATCTGTAGATCAGCCATGAGCACCCGCTGCTCAAGCTCCTCCACCCACTGAAGCACTGATAGGTCTGTCTCAAAGGCACGCTCAGACATGGACCACTGCACTAGCGCTTCTTGAGAGATAAGGTGGCTGGCAGCCTCAGAATGAATCTGGAAGATGGGATCTAGGTAGGAAGGCAATAAAAGTCAATCAAAAAGATCAGGCTTGTGCTAACATAGGCACTGGCCCACAGAATGGGTGTTTCTTACCACTGGCAGCTCGGGCACACACATCCCGTAGGTAATCTTTGTGCTTGATAAGGTGCTTATGCAGGGCTTTTTCCCGGATGCCTCGTGGGTGTAGTACCTCCACCACAGCTTCCAGCTCCTCTGGATCCTGCAACCACCACCAGCCACTCTGCATCTCTGCAAGGGAAGAACAGAACAAACTCAGAGCCTGGTGTCCCCCCACAAACTACCAATTCCAATAGAAGAGAATCTCTGTAGCTCAGGGTTGAACTGTGGAGTCCTTGGTGCTCTCTGAGCTTGGTCGTTTGCTTGCCGACATTTCATTGCTGACTAGTTAACGTCATCAGTGTGCACTGATGATGTTACCTAGTCAGGTAATGAAA